CCTCTGTCTTTTCTTGACTTTCGTGACCCTGACACTTTAAAAGATCATCCAGTTATTTAGTAGAACATAGCTCAATTTCAGTTTTTTCCTCATAGTTAGATTCAGGTCATCTTTGTCAGGAATTCCACACATGTGATGTTGCATTCTTCTTATCGTATGCTGTCAGGTGGTGCTATGGACTGAATTTGTACCCCACCTGAAAATTCATATATTGAAACCCTAAACCCCAATGTAATTAATTGTATTTGAACATAGAGCCTTTAGGAGGTAATTAGGGTTAAGTGGTATCATAAGGGTGTGCCCCTCATCTGATGCGATTGGTGACCTTACAAAGAGAAGAAGGAGAGGGAGATCTTTCTCTCTCCACACACAGTCAAAGGAAAGGCCAACTGTAGACAAAGCAGCCTTCTGCAAGCCAGGAACGAGCCCTCACCAGAAACTGAATCCTGCCAGAACCTTAATCTTGGGTTTCCAGGCTCCATAATTGTGAGAAAATTAATTCCTATTGTTTAAGTCACTCAATCTGTGGTATTTAGTTATGGCAGCCTAAGCAGACTAAGACAGGTGGTGTAAATTTCAATGTCTTCAGACTAAGACAGGTGTTGTAAATTTCAATGTCTCCCATTACTAGTGATGCTACTTGGATCACTAAATGAAGGTGGTGTCTGCTAGGCTTTTCCATTATTTCCTATTTTGTAATTAATAAGCATTTTACAGGGAAATACTTTGAAACTACTTAAATATCCTGATACTAATGAAACTCAATTTAATCTTCTATTTATTTACATCTTACAGAATCAATGTTTCCTATTCTATTCTATGGTTTATAACTTTTTAATATCATTATATTTTTGTCCCTTGTTTCATCACTGGGAGTCCATTCAAACTGGCTTTTGTGTTTTTTGACTTGTCCCCATATTCCTTGAGCATTTCCTTGCTTTCCGCCACATCAAGATGTCCCAGGCTTATGTTTTATCAACCCTCTCTAGCACTCTGTTTCATCATCTGAAATGTGGATATAGTAAATGGCAGGAACAATGTAAGGATCAAAGTAGATAGTGCATGTGCGAGTGCTTAGAGAAAACTGCTCAGTGTTGTACTTAATCAAAGATGGTATACTTACCCTAAGGAGGTTTATCAGTCTATATCACATCCCAGCTCCCTCCATTTATATCCTGATGGAGTACTACTCTCACTGTGCAACCAGATTGTTTATAAATGATGGATGGATGAAGTGGGGCCAGAATAAAGGCAGAGAGAAGCCTCCACTTTTCTTTCCCACACACTCTTATCCCAACCCATGAGCTCCCTCTTCAGAATATATTCAGAATATCCCAATCCAGAATCACACACACACACACACACACACACACACACACACGAAAATTAGGGAAGTATTTGAATATCCATCAAAAGGGAAATGATTGAAGATTGAACACATAATGGTAAATGCCAAACACAGGAGTTTAAAAAAAAAAAAGATGAGGTTGATATATTGAAACAGAAAAACTTGTAAGATATACTAAGTAGACAAAATTACAGATTAAGATCCAGCAAGACATACACACTAATGACAGTTATTTCCTCTGGAGAGGGAGTGTAACTTGGGAGTTAAGGGATGAGAGGCTTCATTTTTTTTTTCCCCAGGGAATGAATTTTTTTTTTTTTTAATTTTATTTATTTATTTATTTATGGCTGCGTTGGGTCTTCGTTTCTGTGCGAGGGCCCTCTCCAGCTGCGGCAAGTGGGGGCCACTCTTCATCGCGGTGCGCGGGCCTCTGACCATCGCGGCCTCTCCTGCTGCAGAGCACAGGCTCCAGACGCGCAGGCTCAGTAATCGTGGCTCACGGACCCAGCCGCTCCGCGGCATGTGGGATCCTCCCAGAGCAGGGCTCGAACCCGCGTCCCCTGCACTGGCAGGCAGACTCCCAACCACTGCACCACCAGGGAAGCCCGAGAGGCTTCATTTTTAAATGAGAATGTTTTGCGATACTTGTGGAATATGAAAAAATTAAAACAGAGGGAAGAAAAGCATTGGGTTAGAAGCGAGTTCTAGTCCTACTTCTGTGATTAGACAGTCACTTAAACTGTCGCAGTTTTCTCGTCTGGAGGACGGTAATAGTACTGGCTTCATAGGATTGGTGTGAGGATAAGTTACTGTGTACGTGTATAAAACTGTGCCAAACATATAGTAAGCGTTACGTATTTTTGATACTGTCATTATCTCATCTGTAAGTAGGGTATGAGTCCGGGTAGGCCTGGTACAAAGACCCTTCCAAGTAAGAGAAGTGGAACATCCTGTCGAGCAGAACAGCAGCAGTAACCAATAGGAGGGATTAACAAACGTCCAGATCCAGGGCCCCAGGTTTTCGAACAGCGTTATTGGTCCAGGTTATGACGCAAACGGGGAACCCGTCTCCTCATTGAGGAAGACTGCTGTCGATTAGCGGGGGGGCGGAACCAGCTGGGGAGGGTTGTGCGTATCCGGCGACGCTGTTTTCCAGCTTAGCCCTTGCGCATTCGTCAGGCTTTCTGGAAGTCCCGGCCTGCCCCGCGGCAGCTTCAGGCCGCGCGCTCTGGGAAATGCGACCAGGTGGGTGAGTCGCGCGTTTGAGGCTTTTCGCGGCGGGGCGGGCTGGAGCTCCGCGGCTCCGCCCTCTCCCCTGAGGCTCTCATGATGTCCTGGGTCTTGTGACGGGAAGGCTCTCAGTGGCCGTGACCCGGTGCTTCCTCCCTCTGTTTGGAGAGGCCTGGGAACATGGTAGGCTGGTGTACGGGACCTGTCGCCCTTTGGAGGCTCCTGTCCGCTCTCTTTCCCCGTGAAGTGTGCTTTGAAAGGCGCAGAGCCTTTTACCCTTGTGCTTTACGTGAATAAAACACTGGTTCACCGAGGCCCTATCGCGTCCTTGTGCGCCCTTGTGTTGGGCAGTGAGGACACGAACACAGCTCAGACATGCTCCTTGCACTCAGAGAGCTCCCAAACTGTGGAGTAGATAAACTTGCAGAAACAAGTTCTGGTGTTAGGTGGAGTAAGAGAAGGCTCCCTGAGAAAGAGTTACAGACAGGGCCGAGGAGTTCAGAGCGTCAAGGAAGCGTCAAGAAGGTGGTGATGGTGCTGTTACCAATCCTCTTCCAGTGGGTTTTTTGTCTTCTTTGATGGACTCCACTCATGAGAACATAAAATTTACCGTATTTCTAATTTCTAGGCTTAGGTGCCCTTCCTCCCTAGCTTGGGAGGAATGGAGATTGGCAGCCCCTGGTGTTCAGTTTCTCTGGAAAGAATGAAATCAGGTCTTGGGAAAAGGTTAGAGGGCAAAGACACTATGGAAAGCAGAGAGCCTGTTCCACGATGTGGGGCCAGTTCACCTGTGCTGGATTGTAGACCATGTGTAGGAGAGTGCGCAGTGAGACTGGAGCAGTAGGTTAGATCTAGAATCCAGGGAGAGCCTTTGCAAGTTAGGAGATCTTGACTTATTTCAGTGGTATTAGGAAGTCTTGAAGGCTTTTGAGCAGAGCAGTTTACACAATTGAATTAGATTTGTAGAAAGTCAAGAGATCCAGATCTGCTTTGTAGGAAGATCAGGTAGATAGATGGAAGACTCTTGTACCAGCCTGGCCTAATGATGTGTCCCTGACCAGGGGTTCTCAACCAGGGAAGATTTTGACCCCCCAAAGATATTTGGCAAAATCTGGAGTAGTCTTGTCATAACTGACAGGTGCTCCTGACATCTAGTGGGTGGAGACAAGGGGTGCAGCTAAACATCCTACAATGCATAGGACACCCCCCCAACCCCCCACCCTGACCCACACAGACAACAAAGACCTGTCTGGCCCCAAATGTCAATACTGTAGTGCTGAAGTTCAAGGGAATTCCCTGGAGGTCCAGCAGTTAGGACTCCACACTTCCACTGCAGGGGGCAGGGGTTCGATCCCTGGTCGGTGAACTAAAATCCTGCGTGCTGCGCAGCATAGCCAAAAAACAAAAATCTGAGCTTTAAAACAACAACAAAAAATAGTGCTGAAGTTCAGAAATGCAACCTTAGAGCGATAGAAGTGGAAACGAAGGGGAGACAGATCTCAGAGACGTCTCAGCCAGAGACCAGTCTTTGCCTCCTTTCATATTCTTTACAATGCTTAAGTACTTTAAGCAGTCAATCAGGTCTAAAGACCCAGACTTCCTTGTCTTTTTTCACCCTTTCATTCCTTTGCAAAATATTTATTTTGCATGAGACACTATTCAAGGTGCTGTGATTCAGCAATGAACAAAACAAATTACCTGCTCTCCAAGAACCTTACATTCTTGTAGGGATGACAGACATGAAACCAATAAATATATATCAAGTAGTGAGATATGCTATAAAGAAGTTCCTGTAAGATAGAGCTTCTGTTATTATCACCACAGACCATTTACTCTGCATCTTGTAAGTGCCAAGCACTGGCCAGATGCTTTACAAATAGCATTTCTAATCTTTTTCTGTATGCTGCAGGATTGGTATAGTTATGCTCAGATGAGAAAAAGCAGCTTAGAGAAGTTGAGTATTTTGCCCCACATCAGTTAATGAGGAGTTGAGCTGGCACTGGAAACTGGATCCACCTGACAAAGTCTGTGAGATTTCCATTAGGACACCGTCTGACTTGAATGGGAGTGCAGTGGTTGAGAGTCCGCCTGCCAATGCAGGGGACGCGGATTTGTGCCCAGTCCGGGAAGATCCCACGTGCCGCGGAGCGCTGGTCCCACGAGCCATGGCCACTGAGCCTGCGCGTCCGGAGCCTGTGCTCCGCAGCTGGAGAGGCCACAACAGTGAGAGGCCCGCGTACCGCAAAAAACAAAACAAAACAAAAAAAAACTATACCTTCTCACCCAAACTTAGCAAAGTGAAGTAGAAATGAAGCTCTTATTGGAGAGGCCTAGCTGGAAGTGATTCTCCATATTGTAGGAACTACATTTGAGAACACATGAGCCTCAGTTGAATTTGTCTTCATTACTCACATTCTCTCAGGTGGCTGATGGCAGGTTCTGACATCTCAGAGAGGTTGGCAACTTGGAGGTCTCCCACCAGCTCTTCAGACTCTCACGATATTGGCAACTGCTGGGCCTCACTCACAAGCTTTCAGCCAGCTCTGGGAGCTGTGCTTGTGATGGCTGCAGCCCAAACTACATCAACGAGAAGATCCTGGAGCTGAAGCAATTCCCGACACGTCTTCCTTTCTGCATGGGAAGATCCAAGCCTGGATGAGGGTGCATCATCCAGGAAGCGTTGAGAAGGCAGTGACCTTGGTGCAGCATTTAGAGTGAGAACCCAGGAGACGAAGGCAATGGTGATAAGGGGAGTAAGGAAAGAGAAATGGGATCAGGTTGGAGAGGGCCTGGGTTAGGGGACAAGCAGTTGGAACAAGGTGGAAAAACTTGATTTAGCTGTTGCTTCTCAAGCACTTGTTTGTTTTCATTATTGGTGTCCATGCCAGCTTTTAAGAGAACAGATTTTCTTTCCCCTTTGAAGGAAGGAGGGTGGGTGGAGAGAGAGTTTGGACCCTCATCAATCACCGAGCTTTCAGTAGGTCTCAGCTGCCAAGAATAAAGGAAGGGAAGTATTTGTCCCTGTAGAACTCAGGCTTTCTCCTCTGCAGGTTATAATGACCTGAGCCAGCTCTGTAAACGAGAGTCTTCTGGTTCTTGACATGCCTGTTGAAGACAGAGGGATTGTAACGCTCAGCTAGCTGTGGGAACTTTGGTTACGTCCTCAGGGTCTGGGTCACACCTCTCACAAAACAGAACCGGATTTCTGGTCAGGAGAGGGCCAGACTGGGACCTACTGAGGACTGATAGTAGTGCTGCAAGATATAACAGCGCTGTGGGGCCCTGGGCAGGGGCTTCCCCAGACCTCCCAGCACTGCCCTGAGCACACAGGACTTGGAAGCACTCTCTGCTGTTCTGCTCAGCCGCACACATCATATTCCTCAATCAAGTTTCTAACTCTGGCTTTGCAGGAATCTCCGTTCCTATACTTTTCCTCCCTGGGCCCATATGATGATCTTTGGCGGGGGAGGTAGGGTGTCCATTGATGGGGTTTATTTCCAGGTGATGGTGTTTGTGCTCCAAGAAGAGCCAGCAACCGGGGTTATGGCGGGGAGGGGGGCAGTTACCAGGCTTCTATTGGAGACCATGAAGCCCATCCTCAGGGGCTTTCCCAAGAGAAGAGGCAGAGCTATGCTCAGACCACTCAGACCCTGGGGCCTTAAAGAACAACCCACCTATTTGAAGAACAGAGTCTCAGGCTGGAAAGGGGAGAGGCAGGAAGAATCCAGGAATGAGAGGTTGTCCGTGCCTGTGCCATCCATCAGAGACGTAACCTTATCGTTCGGTCATGACCACAGTTGGGAGCAGGAAGCTAGTGATTTGGGACGCAGTTGTGGTTCTGAGGCAGCTCAGTTCCATATAGAGGCTTTGTCGTTCCCTCTGGTTCTCCCTTCAGAAAACTTCATTCCGTGATAGCTCTTAGAAGGGTCATGTATGAATCAGGTCTAGGGGCTTACATGGTGACCTGCTGCCATACAAGGCAGAGGGCCGGATCTTAGTTTAGACCTATAAGACTCTCCCACTATCAGGTGCGGCACTGGGGTCCTGACTCTCTGCCCAGCCACACGTACCATGCCTCGATGGAAGGGGTACCTTTTGACCATCCTGTATAACAAGTGAGATCTCTGATGGGTCTCCTTTTCTGTCTTTTTAATGGGTCTCTTTTTGCTTTTTCTCACTTTTGGCTGTAAAAATTTCTTGGGAACCATGTCTAATCTATACTGTGTAATAACTAGCTCTTAATCTTGTGCCAGGCACAACACCATGCCTGGGAGGTAGTTGCTGGTAATGGGTGTGACATGAAACCTCAACTGTACCTTCCTCCTCCCCAGGAGGCTGGGCCTACGGCCCCTGCCACAACAAGGCTGCCCTCGTGGCATGAACATGTAGTATAAGGTCTGTGTTTGGAGGTTTCACAGAAATTGTTAGCCAGAAAGAGTGTTGAGAGAGACAGTGAAAAATTAAAGGTTTTGAAATTGATCTGACCCAGGTTCAAAATCCAGCTCTTTCACTTTAATCACTATGCAAGTCACTTTAAACCTATGATAGCAGGTGTGCTTTGGGGCTACCAGGAAACCCAGACTTTACTTGCAAATCTCAGTAAATCCCCAATTTATCAAAAACTCCAGAAGTGCCACTAGAATGGCCAAGTGTACAGGAAATGCCCGAGCAGCTTCAGGACCACAGCTTTCTCCAGATGCCAGAACAGAGTGGCACAAGTTCAAAATCCTTCAGGCTAACTTCCATATCACAGGGAGTAGCCAGGTTAATTGCTAGTGTCCTGTGACCTGCACTCAGTCCTTCTCTTTGTCTCTATCCAGAAGCCGAGCCGAGGACGAGCAGCAGGACTGCGAGGAGGCTGGAGCTGATGATGGTGAAAGCGAGGATTCGCCTGTGATGGTGTCAGCGATGACATGGGCACAGTCTCACCCAGGACCCCAGGAGTCCTGGCTGTTCCCAAACTGACTGGTAAGGCAGTCCCTCACAGGAGAGGCAGACAAGAGGTGGCAAGAGGAAAGGAAGTTGGGTAGGAGGCCTGAAGGGCCCAGCTCTGGCTTTGGCTGTGACCACCCATCAGCCACCTTAGGCTGAGAAACCACAGCAGATGTGTGAAAAGGGAATGGTGTGCAGGCTTCGCGCTACTTCTCTGGGTTGTGAGAATATTTATTTGATCCTGTCTGTGGCAAGTGCTTAGCAGTCCTTGGAAAAAAGGCATGCTGTCAGTTGAAAAATTGTATCAATGAGTTAAAATGTTTCAGTGAGGAAGGGATGTACAGACACTATATGGAGAGCCCCAGTATTAAACGTACAGGGGAAAACTGGCTTTTCAATGGATATCTGAAGGGCTGAAGCAAACCAGAAGTATCAGTTACACGTCAGAGGAAATGGATAGACTTGAGGGTGTTGCCTTTTGTACAACCTACTTCAAATTTATTCTCAAGTGGTTGGTGCAGTGATCATGCTGATTTGTCAGTGGGACGTAGACACTAAGGTAACAGAGGTGGTAACTGTAGGAAGCAGCGACCACACAGGGAGTAGGGGGAAAGGTTGGGTTTATCAGAACTCAGAAGCAGGTTGGGTTTATCAGAACTCAGAACTTAGAGGAGTGGCCCTGCGGAGCTGGAACTCAGATCTTGGGGCTTGGGGGCTGGGTGTGCTGCCTGACTTGTGCTGTATTTCTGAGGGGTCCAGTAAGGCTGGTTCTGGAAGGAAGATACAGTGTGTTTCGTTCACTGCTTTGTATTTGGCTTCTGTGTAATACCTGGTACTTTACAGGCAATCAAATGTTTCCTGAATGAATGAATAACTGGATGTATTCTCCAGTTCTTACTGTCTGCTCCAGACCCTCCCGAGAGGCTGACAGGCAAGGGCTGCGCGCTCTAGTACTGTGTTCTTTCTCCTGCCCAGCAGACTACAGGATAAAGCAGTTTGGACGGTGGAGGCAATCTAAGAATGCAAGGAGTTCAACAGTTGCATCCCAGTTTCCCTGGTTACCGCAGACCCAGGACTGGGAGGAACCTGCCTGTGAGGCCTGGGTACCTGTGCTTCCTTAGCGATTCCATTGACTTTCACTGGCTTTCCTCACTTATCAAAGCCAGCTTCTTTGAGCTGGTGTACAAAGCCCTTCAGTAGTTGATCCACCCCGGGCTGTCCCCCTCTTCCCCACCATGATCTCCAATGAAGTCAGGCTGTCCCCCAATGGGTCACATTCAAGCCCATCTCTTTGCCTTTGCCTGAGCTTTCCTAAGGTATCATTTTTTCCCACTCTCTGTAGAGCAGAGGTAAGTATGTGACTCTGGGAACTGACCTGCATAGCTTGTCCACTGGGCCATGTTCAAGGACCGTGTATGCAGAGAACTGTGGGATGGAACAAGCGAGACTCAAGCTGAGGAAACACTGAAGTATATTTTTCTGTCCTGCCTTTGCTTCTCTTTTTCTAAATTAAAAAAAAATTTTCGGGGGCTTTGAGGTAGAGTATACATTCTCCTTTGCTCATCTGTAATTCCTCAAGAAGGCTTAAAGCAGAGACCATGACACTTGCTTTTCAACAAAGCTTAGGCAAGGTACTGACAACCTGCACGCACAGGCCAAGAACCATGGACAACTTACCCATCTTTCACATTTTATCATAGAGATTTCACAAAAGCTTAAACATCTATGCCTTGTTCTGGATCAGTAAGCTTTAATTTTGGCTCTTCATGCTCCTCACACCCAGCCTTCTTTTCACCTGTAGTCAGAGCTGCCTGCAGCCCCTGTGTTTTCCTTACTCCCCAACCCAACTGTATTCCTTCTCTCCCCATTTTCTGCCCCTTATTCCTTCTCTGCATGTCCTACTGTCCCGAAGCAGGTTCTACCCTTGGATCCTCTTGAGGACCGTGCAGGCTTCTGCATGAGAATAAAGTTTCTAATGGAGAAAATTTCAACCAAAGGCCAAAGAAGTAGAGGGAGAAACACCTTTATTGTCAACAGAAGTGGTAATGGTTATAAGCTTGTAGAAAGTGTTAACTATAAGAGACAATAAACCAGGAACTGGGGTGGAGGTGATGGTAAAATGAGGAATCTTACAAAGATTAACCTAGATGTTACCCTTGCTCTGAGATTACGTCACCAAGGGAAACAGATTTAATATTGCCCAGAGGCTTAACCTCTCCTTCCTTTCCTTTGTTCTTTCTTTTGGTGGTGGCTGGATTACAGAGTAGTGATCTGCTCTTAAGTTAGCAGTAGTACCTAACACTAGGTGTCAGAGGTCAGTTGTTGGTTTAGAATACATCCAGGCTGTTAACTTCTAGATGTGCTTCCCATGAGGGTGGAGAATTTCTTCTCTGACATGGCCCAGAAACAGTGCTCAGGCCACTAGCCCCCCCATTCTCTGTTGGGAACAGTCATACCCAGGTTTCCTGGCAGGACTTATGGATCCTGTAGCCTTGTCCCCTTCAAACAGAATTGAAATCGACAATGAGACAGGACCCAGGAGTCCCAGGCAGAGCCAGAAAGAGTTCAGCATTCTTACCCTGATTCCTATTCCTGGACATGGTTCTTAAGATCCGGTTGTCAATAAACCTATAGCTAAGCTGGGGATTGCCCAGTAGAATTCTCGACAAGCAGAAGGAAGCGCCAGAAACACGTGTTGACATAAGGAATTGATCCATCGGGTTTCTTCCACACTCATAGCACATGCCTTCCTTCCTGGGATATGGGAACCTCTTCTGTGTGCACCCCCTGATGGTGGATGAGGGAAGGGTTCTTAGTGAAGATTTTCTCACACTGAGAGCACTGGTAAGGCTTTTCCCGTGTGGGTTTTCTGGTGGGCACTCAAGTGGGAGCCATTGTTGAAGCTTTTCCCACACTGCCCACACTTGTGTGGGCTCTCCCCAGTGTGGACTCGCCGGTGAGCACTGAACTGGGAGCTGTTGTTGAATCTCTTTGCACAGACAGTGCACTGATAAGGCTTCTCCCCCGTGTGGGTCCTCTGGTGGACAATGAGGCTGGAGCTCTGGTTGAAGCTTTTCCCACATTCCCCACACTGGTAGGGTCTCTCCCCTGTGTGAGTTCTTAGGTGGGCAGTGAGGTTGGAGCGCTCGCTGAAGCCTTTCCCACACTCACTGCACTTGTGAGGCTTCTCTCCCGTGTGGATTCTCTGGTGTCGAACAAGATAAGAACTGCGGCTAAAGCTTTTCCCACATTCATGACATTTAGAAGCTTTTTCCACTTTGGGGACTGGCTGGTGGTGAGAGGGAGAACTCTGAGAGCAGTTTCTCCCACACAGGAAATGTGTACAGGCCTTTTCCCCAGTACGAAGTCTCTGGTGACTCATTCTCTTCTGGGATGGGGATTTCTCCTCACTCTCCCCTGGAGAACATCTTCGTTGCCTTCTTGACACTGGAGCACCCGCCCAGCCTCTTTTTAGCTCAGAATGCCAGAAGACTTCACTGGACTTTCTCTGAAAAGGCTTGCTCATTTCTGCTTCCTCTGTATCATCCCATTTCCAATTCTCTTTTGTAATCCCGCTCTTGATCTCAATACCTGCAAGAAGAGAAATATATCAGACTGTCGGGACTTCCCTGGTGGTGCAGTGGTTAGGAATCCGCCTGCCAATGCAGGGGACACGGGTTCGAGCCCTGGTCCAGTAAGATCCCACATGCCACGGAACAACTAAGCCTTTGTGCCACAACTACTGAGCCTGCACTCTAGAGTCCACGAGCCACAACTACTGAGCCTGCGTGCCACAACTGCTGAAGCCCACGCACCTAGAGCCTGTGCTCTGCAACAAGAGAAGTACCGCAATGAGAAGCCTGTGCACCACAATGAAGAGTAGCCCCCACTCACCACTAGAGAAAGCCTGTGTGCAGCAACAAAGACCCAACGCAGCCATAAATAAATAAATAAATAAATAAAAAATAAAAAAAATACATCAGACTGTGGAGCAGGAAAACAATGGAATGAGGAAAGAATTACAACTAAACTACCTTTAAGAAGAAAAACTAATTGGAATTCTCATGTGATTCAGGCTTCTGCTAATTAAAAACCTAAGTTTTATTTTCCAATTGTAATATTTTTAAGCTCCAAATTCTATGATCACAGGTAAATATACCCAAAACTCCATCCACCCACTTTGCTCCTATTGCACCTCTTTTTGGATGTTCTGACACAATGACAAAATGAGTCAAGGAGTCAAGCTCTTTGTCATCTGTCTCAGTTCTTGAATGGCCTGGCTTCTGGGAAGAGTAACAAAAGGCCACCCTGGGTTTAACCATCTCAAACAGGAAGAAGGCAAGTTGCTGGGCATCTGGGAAGCCCAGGCTTAGATTTGAAAGGAGGGTCAGTGCTGGAGAAGGAGAGAGAGTCTGGGCTGGAGACCTGACTGGCCATCTGTGGAAGCAAAGTAAGTGCAAATCCATGGGGAAGAATGACATGGACCCTGTGAAAGAGGCCAGCAAAGCAAAATCGGGGCTCTGAAGTGCAAAGGAAATAATCCTTAACCATGAAAACCAAGACTCTCTGGCCTATGTCAGGTCTACATCAAGATGATGACAAGGCCAGGAGCAGAATGGCTCTCTGGTGATGCCAGGCTAACGGCCCTAAGTGGACTTTCCCATGCTTTGACCAAGAGTCAAAGCCAAGAGTCTTACCACGTCTGTTTGGGAACAGGTCTGGCAGGCCAACCCTCCTAACTGCCTGGCCAGGATCCCTGAAATCCTCTTCCTCCCAGTCTTCACCATCCACGGTGGTACCTTCTCCAGCCTCTGTGGGCCCCCTATTCTGCTGACTCAGCTCTCTAGCCTCAACTTCCCTCTTGGCCAGGATCAGTACTGCTTGCCATAGTAGGTGCAGAGGCCCAGGGGCTGGAAAGGGCATCAGTTTCCTCGTAAAAGATACAAGGCTCAGGCACATAGCCTCTCCTCATGTTGCGGGAACTCAACTGCAGGCTTTTGAACTTGGCACGATGCTGCTCTGGGGTCTGCAGAAAGCTTTGCTCCTGGAGTTGTTCCACCAAGGCCCTGGAGATCTGGCTGTTCTGCTGATGGGTCTGGAGTTTTTCATAAAACTGAGAATGGCCAGGAGTGTCTTGGTCTCTTCATAGCCCCAGTGCACACTTGCTGCCAGGAGACAACTCAGTGACCAGAGCAGGGCAGGCTGATACCGCAGTGCAGGGTTTTAGCAGCCCAGGAAGCCACATCCTAGTCTCTCAAATTATGCCATGCTGGCTACTGTTGTTCCTGGGGAGATCTCACTGTGCGCTTGTTCCTAAAGCAACAACTTCCAGTGAAATCCTCTCCAGCTGAGGAGGGGTTGTAGAGTCTTTACCAAAGCTTCTGCTTTTATTTCTCTTTATCCTGAATCCCACTAATTTCCCCTGAGAGATGATTCACGATAAGCCTCGAGCTTGTCTGTCTCCAGGGTGGTGGGAATCTCTGAGGCTGAGTGGCCATATAAGAGGACCTGGTGAACAGGTAAGACTTGGATGGAAGCAAAGATTCACAAGAGAGAAGATAGGATACTTCTGCTAAGTCCCACCTCTCATGTATGAGTCCCTCCTGATCTGGCTCCTGTACATCTGTTTATATCTCTTGTCATCCCTGTGTATGTAAGAAACTGAATTACTGCAGGTAGTGTCCCAAGGTGAGAATAAGTAGTAAAGGTCTGGGAATAGCAGTTCAGGAAGGCTGGTTACTCAAGAACACTCAGCACAGGCCCCACAGGGGCTGCCCATCTGGGCCGGTGGCTGAGGGCTCATTTGTCTAGAGCCGTCCCAGCAAATGCATTCTGATCACACCTGGTCATGATGCTCTGAAGGGCACGCAGCCTCTTCTCGTCACCCTCTCGTCCACTCTGCTCTGAGCCACTGTCTTCTTGTGCCTGGATTACTGCAGTGGCCGCCTACCTGGTCTTGACTCTCCTCTGGACCTCCTACAGTCTCTCTCAATCCAGCTGTCAGAGTACGCCCCTCCTCTTCATTCAACTCAACTAACCTCTGTGAGTGCCAGCAGGCCAGTTTCTGAGAAATGCAACTGTCATATGACATGGACCCTGCCTTCAAGAAGACCACAGTCCTCCAAAGGTCTCCGTAAGAAAACGGAGACACAAACACGTGTTTAAATAGAGTTAAGTGTCAAATAAATTGAAATTCTCAACATGATCCTTTTAAAACTATTACTCCTCTGCTCAGAATCCTGCAAGGCTACCCCATTTCACACAGAAAAAGCCAGAGTCCTTACAAAGTCCTCTATGTAGGGCCTGAGGCCCTAGGTTAGTGCTTCTCAAAGTATCTGTGAAGAACCAGGTTTTTTCGTTTTTCAAAATACATTGAATATGCAGTTAGATGGTGCAGCAATGTCAGATTGCTATAAAAGTTTCTAAACGCTTGCTCTCAATTTCACTCTCAGTAGTGCTGCCCCACGTGATCTGGTTCTGACCTTGTTTATTACTCTCATCCCCTCTCAATCTGCACCAGGCACACTGGCCTCCTTGCCCAGGCTCCTCCGGCTCAGAGCCTTTGCACTGGTGATCCCCTCCGACTGTTACAGTCTCCCCAGAGAGTCACACAGTTCACCCATTCTCCTTCACATCTCTAATGTCATTTTCTCGGTGAGAACTACCCTGACAACCCAAATTAAAAATGCAACCCACCCTCTGTCCCCACATGCTCCATCACTCTTATCCTGCCCCACTGCCCTGCAGCTACAATGGAACCTGATTCCCAGACTAAGATGACAGCTCTCTGAATCCACACAGCGGCTCCAGCTAGGACATCACCCACCTTCCACAGAGAACACAGTGCTCCTTCCCCAGGCTAACATTAGCTTCGTTCTTTTATGTTCAGTTAACAAAATCTAGATATAACATTTACTCACACAATTTATTCTTAGGTCACAGAAACAGCCCAGGCTTTGGCTTTACAATTTCACAACTCAAAAGAAAATCCCCTGGGTTATTACCAAGACAACATAATGGTTTAGGTACTGCTTTTCCCTGTGTGTAACCTGCAGGTGGCCAAGTGAATGGCTTTATGGCCTTCATCCCAGCATTTCCCCAGCAGTGAGGGAACAGGAACAGTCCTCAACTTACAGCTGGAAGACAAGGCACAAAGTGGGAGCATGGTTTGCTTATAGGTGACAGTACCAGGACATGTGTGCCGAGAGGCCCTCACCCAAGTGGCTCTGGAGCTGGCTGTAGGTGTGGGGACTCCAGTTTCCTGGACTGGCTGCTTCCTGTCAAATTTGTAGCTGTCTCAGGGCTTCCCTGGTGGCGCAGTGGTTGAGAGTCCGCCTGCCGATGCTGGGGACACGGGTTCATGCCCCGGTCCGGGAAGATCCCACATGCCGCGGAGTGGCTGGGCCCATGAGCCATGGCCGCTGAGCCTGCGCGTCCAGAGCCTGTGCTCTGCAACGGGAGAGGCCACAACAGTGCGAGGCCCGCGTACCACAAAAAAAAAAAAAAATTTGTAGCTGTCTGAGCCCCCCACTGTGTCCTCGAGCCTCGCCTCTTTGCGCTTCCATGGCCCTTGGCTTGGCCCTTTGGCCTCAACAGCCCTGTCTGCCAAGCTCCTGGGAGAACTGGAGGAGCCCTGTGAGGCCGGCAGAGCTTCCTTCTCCTCCTGAAGGGCACAGGGTGCCTGGCTGCAGCCTCCCCTCCTTCGACAGTCACTGGCCCAGAGGCTTCTGAACTGGTTCATGCTGCTCCAGAGTCTGGTGGAAACCTCGTTCACACAAGAACTCAGTGACTTCCCCACAGAGCTGGCTGCTCTGCTGGTGCTCCTGCAGTTTCTCATAAAACCGAGGCTGCTGAGAACAGACAGGAGAGTCCTGGTGTCCTCGGCCGCCCAGGGTGGGCCAGGCTCTGTCCCATTTGCTGAGTCTGGCTCTTGTGCTTCACCCTTGATTTCTTCTCCCCTGTTTGCTGGTGTCTCATGGGCTTTCACTCTAGTCTCCCTTGTGGAAGTCTTAGGCCTTTTCCTTGCCCTGCAGCCCTGCATACCTGGGGTCCCTGCGTGTTCTCTGATCCAGCCCAGGATGTCCTTCCGACCATGAATGAGCAACCCTGCATGTGGAGATGCAAGGAGGAGACATCAAGGCTGCAGAGCATCTGTCTCTGAATCTGACGGTCGGGGAGGCTGCTCTGAGGAGGAGCAGCCCAGATGGGGCAAAACTGATTTGAAAAAAGGCAAGAGATCGGTCCAGAGACTCTGAAAAAGGGCTCTTGTTGCCTCCTGAAGGGCCTGGGCATAGAAGTAGACTATCACGGTTGGATTCTCTTGTCTTTCAGTCTCCTCTGCTCCCCAGGACCTATCACAGCTGTGTGTGTGAGCACAAGTTCACTCATCTCTCCCCTGTTCCCAGCACAGCCTGTGCCTCCCTAGCTGCTGTCTGTCTTCCCTCTCCACTCATCCTCTGCCTCCCACACGCTCTGTCCCCACTGCCCCTGTCATAAGCCCGTGCTTTCCCTTCCTTCTATCACTCTGTCCCACTCTGTGTCTTCCTTTCTCTGTGTCTCTTGTCGCCTCTCAGTATGTTCCTGTTCCTTCTTTCCCCCCACCCAACAGGCTCCCCACTGCCTCTCTGTCTCCTTTCCTCTTGGGTTCTCTTGGTCTGTCTCCAGACAACTGAACACATTCACTCTGGACCTAGAGGGAACGTGGATCCTTACCCAGCCAGGCGTTTCTGTCACTCTTCTGTGTAACATCCCTGTAGAGGGCCCTCTGTTCAGGGCCCAGGTGTTATCTGCCCTTCCTGACAGAGGGATATGGCTCTGTCCTCACATGTGGCTCATCCCTGTAACAACACAGGGGTCTGCTGCTACCGATAAAATAGCACCGCTCTAGCTTGGGGTGGGGCAGAGACAGGACCACGGGTATCAGATCAGGGGCAAAGCAAGGCAGGGAGAGGTCAGGCCTCCAAGAGAAGGATCGGGATGGGTAAAGAGCCATATGATGATGTCAGTGGACAGAACAAGGAAACAACCCAAGAGAAACTCAATGGACCACGTAAAAATCTTTCCAGCATCTCTAGAAAATAAGGGACTTTAGGCTGAGAGTGAGCGCAAGATGAAAGGGGAACTTAAAGAGACAAAAGGTATCCACCATAGCTCACCTGGGCCCCAGCTATGTGGAGCACAGCACCTGTCTCCTGGTCTCTAAGACCCCTCCTCTGAGGAAGGTTCCTGGGAGCCTGCAGAGTAAGCCAGGCTGGGGGAGAAAACAGCCACTGTTAGAGGGCGGTCTCCACCTAACAGCCACAGAGCAGAGGTTGTGAGTGGGGTCCCCAGGCCAGCAGCCTCAGCAATACCTGGGAGCTCATCAGAGATGCATATTCCTGGGCCCCACTGGGATATAATGAATCAGCAACTCTGGGGGTGAGGCCTGGGAATCTGTTTAACACGCCCTCAGGTGAGTCTGATGCATAGTCAAGTTTCAGGACCACTGCCACAGCCAATGGCCTGTGTGTTAAGAAGTTCCTTTCACCAGATCTCTCCTGACATAATAGCTTTAAAAAAAGGTTTTTTCATTCTAAAGAAATATGTGCATAGTATATATATATATTTTTTTAAATTTATTTATATTATGTATTTATTTTTGGTTGCGTTGGGTGTTCGCTGCTGTGCACGGGCTTTCTCTAGTTGCAGCGAGCGGGGGCTGCTCCTCGCTGCTGTGCCTGGGCCTCTCAGTGCAGTGGCCTCTCCTGCTGCGGAGCACGGGCTCCAGGCATGCGGGTTCAGTAGTTGTGGCTCACGGGCTCTAGAGCACAGGCTCAGTAGTTGTGACGCATGGGCTCAGTGGCTCCGCGGCATGTGGGATCCTCCCGGACCAGGGCTCGAACCCGTGTCCTCCTCATTGGCAGGCGAACTCTTAACCACCGCGCCACCAGGGAAGCCTCATAGTATATTCTTTAAAAATTTTAATAGAATACTTGGGAGCAAGGGGAGGGAATGTCTCATTGCCCAACCACTCAGAGATGACTATAATGCTTTTTTTTTTTTTTAATTTATTTATCTAGTTTTTGGCTGTGCTGGGTCTTCGTTGCTATGCGCAGGCTTTTCTCTAGTTGCGGCGAGTGGGGGCTACTCTTTGTTGTGGTATGTGGGCTTCTCACTGCAGTGGCTTCTCTTGTTGTAGAGGACAGGCTCTAGGCGCATAGGCTTCAGCAGTTGTGGCACATGGGCTCAGTAGTTGTGGCTTGTGGGCTCGAGAGCACAGGCTCAGTAGTTGTGGCACACAGGCTTAGTTGCTCCGCGGCATGTGGGATCTTCCTGGACCACGGCTCAAACCGGTGTCCCTTGCATTGGCAGGCAGATTCTTAACCACTGTGCCACCAGGGAAATCCCCTATAGTGCTCTTAAAAATACCATGGGAATTCGATTCTTTTTTTTTTTCAGACCAAGATAATACATTCTTTTCCAGATCCCCATCTTCAAGAATAGTACAAAGAAAATGGTACATTTTGATGACTTATTAGTGGAACTTGACCCCTGGGGAGGTTTCACCACTTGGGAGCAGCCCGCAGGTATGGTGAGCTGAGGTTGCAGAACGTGGAACACAGTGAGTCCTGCCCCCTTTACTCAGACCCCAAAGTCTCAGAAATCACACACCAAAGAGCACAGATGTTCCCAAGGATTAAAAGTAAATAAATTCTAAATGGCAAAGTTTTCTAACATATTGGTAGTGTATTTACTTCACTTAAAAAATACGAAAGCAGGGACTTCCCTGGTGGCGCAGCGGTTGAGAATCTGCCTGCTAATGCAGGGGACACGGGTTCGAGCCCTGGTCCGGGAGGATCCCACATGCCGTGGAGTAACTAGGCCCACGAGCCACAACTACTGAGCCTGCGCGTCTGGAGCCTGTGCTCTGCAACAAGAGAGGCCGCGATAGTGAGAGGCCCCCACACCACGATGAAGAGTGGCCCCCGCTTGCCACAACTAGAGAAAGCCCTCGCACAGAAACGAAGACCCAACACAGCAAAAATAAATTAATTAATTAATAAACTCCTACCCTCCCCCCAAAATACAAAAGCAAACAAACTCTTAAGACTGTTTCTCATTTCATCAACAGAAGCTTGCCTTTTTAAACAGCATGAAGACACAGTGCTTTTCTTTAGGATCTGAGTTAAATAAAGGTAAGGGGGCTTTAAAATAATTACTTAGAAACCTGTAAGGGCAGCTTTGAATTACACAGAAAAGGCAGCAGTGGCCTTTACATAATCTAGAAATGTATGCAGCCAAAGTGCTTCACAGAAAGAGACTTATAAAGATAGAGCCTTGGTCTGTCTGCGCAATGGAATATTACTCAGCCCCCAAAACAAACCAAGTAGTGATACTTTGTAGGCTGGAAACGTGATAAATGAGAGAGGCTAGAAACAAAAGGTCATATATTGTAGGATTCTATTTCTATGAAATGTTCAGAACAGGCAAATACAAAGAGAGAGAATGAGGAGCAACTGCTTAATGGGCATGGCGTTTATTTTGGGGAGGATGAAACTTTTGGAATGAGACAGAGGTGGTGATAGTACAACATTGTGACTGTACTAGATGCAATGAATGGTTCACTTGAGATGGCTAATTTTACATTAGGTGATGAATTTGAGATCAATTAAATTTAATTAAATTTTTAATTAACCTTTTTCTAAAAAATTAGGACAATTTTTTAAAAAAGCACTGGAAGAAAGGAAAAACTAATAGGAGAAATGTATTTTGGAAGAGATTAAGCTGGATGGAAGGGGGTTGTATTCAAGTTCATGAAGAACCACTCTGTAGAAGGTGAGGTAATTATGCTCACCTTTAGTAACACCAGATTCAGAAGCAATAGAATTAACTTGTGATAAGAGAGAATTAAGCTAACACATAAAGGATCTCCACCCACATTTTAAGGGCTAGTACCATCAACTATAATTTGAAAACTTGATTTTTGGATGTATCTCAAAGGCATTTAATCTGGAACCCAGGGGCCAACTTGAGCTCAGACCTGTATTTCCAAGAGATGATTGTCCCTCACACCTTGGGGGAGGGCAGAGGCTTCTGCTTACCTTCTGACTGTCCCCACGATCTCTGGGGTGAGCTCCGTGACCCCTTCACAGGCCATTCTTCTGGAAGAACCCCCTGTTTCAGGTGGGATCTCAGTGATTCTCTGGCTGCTCCCAAGGAGGCCGTCTCCTCGATGGGCATTTTCAAGTCCTTCCCAGATTCCGGGACCTGAGAACAGACCCCATCATCTGTCACTACAAATTCCTGTCTAAAGTGACAGAGGAGAGATACTGAGAGGTAGCTGGGGTATCACCTCCCTTACTGCTTCTCACTTCCACTTCCTGCTCTCCCCTTCACCCCCCTGATGGGTTTCAAATAGCCGTTTTAACCCTTACATTCCTATACTGTTTTCATTCACGTTAAGAGTGTGATCCTGAAATGGTGGTGGACAATAAGGGAGAGATAGTCCACACAGAAATGGCAAGGGGAACCGGGACCAGGATGACTGTTAGCACAAAGGGATTCCCGCTCTGCTTAGGTCCCCTCTCCAAACTCTTAACTTCGTACATGTGCTCCACTGCCCTTCTCCATCCATCCTGGTTATTATTAACAGTCTCCAAACCATGGATATTAAATTAACTTCCCCCATTTCTAATGCATCACCACCATACTGCTCCCCCCTCCAAATTATGTCAAAACCTTTCAATCCTATGAAATTTCACCGACACTCCCTTCACCACTCTTCCTCCTACAGCTGGTGTGCACATCCGCCTCCTCGCTGGGAGACGCAAGCACATCCTGATCCAGCCATGCAGACTCGGGCGTCAGCAGGCTGCTTCCTGCTCTGGCCACAGTCACGTTCAGGCTGGCACTCCTCTGACCCACACTCCTCCGTTACTTGTTGCCTCTCCCAGATTTCTGACCTGGATTTCAGCCGTCTTCTTCCCACAGAATCTCCCACAACTGAAGCCCTCATGTTTCTTTTCCTTCTCCTGTGCCTTTCACACCCCCCTTCTCCCAAAATATACACGACATTACACTGAGTGGATCTCAGACCGAGTCCTTACCTCTACAAGTAGGTATTTTGTGAAACTCATCACTGTCCCAAACTGACCACTTAATTCAGGCAGCAAGGACCAGCTCTAATATGACTTTGTTTAGTGTACAACACATGACACACTCCTTCAAGGAACCTTCTAGCAAGACAGATTAGATTTAAATTCAACAACATCTCTAATTTTCCTGACCTGCTGAGTGAAGGATTGTTGTCCTTTTCCTCGCCTTGTTTTGGAGAGTGTTATCTCACTTTAATTAGTGACTCCAAGGTTTCAGTGAATATATGAATGTCTAAGTTATTTCAGCAAATGAGAAATTCTTCCCATAGACCAAGGACATAGGACCAAGGCAGGATAGCTAATACTTTCTGGGCAGCAGACAGCTTCTGGCATTTCTCAGCTAAGCGCCTCTCCAGTAACTGGATTCTTGAGCTCCTCACACCAACTTCTTCATGACTAAAACCACAAGGTTCTGACTGCCTTTTCTCACCTGCTGCCCAGGTGCTCTCTGTACATCCTCAACCAGAGCCACAGCTTCATCACCATTTTCTGGACACTGCTCCCTCACCCAGCTCTGGATCTTTTCTGGCAAGATGGTCAGAAACTGCTCCAAAACCAGCAGCTCCAGGATTTGCTCTTTTGAGTGTGTCTTAGGCCTCAGCCACTGACAACAGAGTTCCCAGAGTTTGCTAAAAGCTTCATGTGGACCAGCTACCTCCTGGTAGCAGAACTGCCGGAAGCGCTGGCGGGAAGCTTCATAGTCAGGGCCGTTGTTGTGCAGGGCTGATTTCTGTCTCTGTGTGGAGTCCTTGCTTGGGGACGGGTGTGCCTGGGAACTCCTTATTGCAGCCATGGTTTGCTTCAACGAACTGGCTTACTGGTTGCCACTTCCATCCTGCAGATCAGATTCCATCTCTTTTCTTATCACTGGGAAGCGGGTCTCCTGGATACCAGTGAAAAGTGTGTCTTTTTGGAATCAGAGACATGAGCATTTCATAGACATGCAGACTCAGACGCACACTTGAAAAAGGCTCAGTGAGGCTGAAAAGAATCAAAAAAGACAGCATGAAACCATCCCATATTCCTCCACTCTAGTTCTTATGTTTTTTTTTTTTATGCAGTACGCGGGCCACTGTTGTGGCCTCTCCTGTTGCGGAGCACAGGTTCCGGACGCGCAGGCTCAGCGGCCATGGCTCACGGGCCCAGCCGCTCCGCGGCATGTAGGATCTTCCCGGACCGGGGCACGAACCCGTGTCCCCTGCATCGGCAGGCGGACTCTCAACCACTGCGCCACCAGGGAAGCCCAGGCTGATTTCCTTTTTATTCGGCAAGGATGCCCTGAGTACTCCAGTGCACTCGGTGCTAGGGTTAGGTCCTGCGGCTGAAGTGGACTAGGAAACAAGTCCGCGGGCTCCCGCTCCGGTCTCCCGGGGGTGAGACGGGCAGGGTCACAGGCCGGAGAGAGTCCGCGCTGGGGCACAGGGATCGGGACACCTCTGGCCGGCTCGGGTGGGCCGGGGCGAGGGGCCGCGGCACAGGAGGGTGACCGCCGAGCGTGCGAGGGGCGCCCTGACCTGGCCCAACTGCCTCTGAGACGACTGCCAGCAGCAAGCCCCCGGCCGCCAAGAAGCGGAGCACTCACCTGACGCACTCACTCGCGACTCCCCAAACTCACTCGGCCACCGGGTCGGAAGTCAGCACCGCGAGACCCCGCGCGGATCCGCCCACTGCGCTTGCTCGCGAGTCTTGCCAGCGGACTACAACTCCCGGAGTGCACTGCGACGGCGGGGCGCCGTTCTCGCCAGCATCGACAGACCCAGCAGCCGATAGATGAGAGAGAACGCCCCCGAGGAGCCAATCCCTCTGCGGAGGAGGCGCGCTCTCCCGTGGCACAGTTTCGCGGCAGCCTGTGGGAGTGTCCGCGACGAGCGGCTTTTTCCCCGCCCTCAGCCTTGGCTCCTGGGTTCTGGTTCCCCGGTCCCCAGAGAGGTGAGTCGGCTGCAGGTGGGCGTGTGGAGCGGGGCTGTCGGCGGTGCTGCCGTCGCAGGCGCCACCCCCGGCTCGCACCCGGCCACGTAGTTGAGCCGCGCGCCAGAGTGCTGCAGCTTCGCCAAGCCCCGGGCCAGCTGGGGCGCGGAGTCGGAGCCGGGCGCCCTCGGAGGCCGGAGCGGCTGGGCCTCGGAGCCTCGGGGGTGAGCAGCCGCCGCGTCTCCGTGTACCTTGCTCGCTAGCAGGAGGTTTCCGCTAACTCACAACCCCCAGCGTGCGCCGTGGCCTGCCTGGGCTCGCCCTGTAGCGCCCGGCGAGATGCTGGAAGTCGGCCTGTGGAGGATGCGGGGGAGCTGGTGCAGGCTACCTGGATGACAGCCTGAACTTTTCCCAGGGATTCCTGCCAGCCCATTAGGTCACGTTGCGCATTTTCCTCTGAGACCTCTTGTGCTTGCCGCTGAAATAAAAGCGGTATTTCCCCCAGTTTCCTTTTAGGACATTATGACTTTTCTCCTTTGCAAGACAGTTCAAGAAACTGGCAGAAAAACAAACTCTTCCCACTCTCAGGGACTGTGTTGTCTTCAGGAGTTTGGGGTCAAGTTCAGCGAATGAGGAGGCTCTGTTTGCATCCTTTCCTTTCCAGTATCCTCAGAGGAGCTTCGTTTCTAGCATCTTTCTAGCATTCAGGGCCATGATCCTGAAGGCTTGAGCTGTTTACAAGGAGAGAGAAGCTGTCTCCTGAGCCCCAAAATGGCGGCTAAGATGGAGATAACTTTGAGCTCGCAGTCCCACATTCAGGCTTCCTCCAAGCAAGAGAGACATATAATAGCAAAACTAGAAGAAAAACGGGAGCCCGCTCTGCAAAAAGACTGGCCCGATCCTGAGCTCTCCCGCCAGAGTTTTAGACGGTTTTGTTATCAAGAGGTGTCTGGACCCCAAGAGGCGCTCTCCCGTCTCCGGCAGCTCTGCCGTCAGTGGCTGCAGCCTGAGGTGCACACCAAGGAGCAGATTTTGGAGCTGCTGGTGCTGGAGCAGTTTCTGAACATCCTGCCTCCGGAGATCCAGGCTCGGGCCAGGCATCAATGTCCAATGAGCAGCAAGGAGATTGTGACCCTGGTGGAAGATTTTTACAGAGCAGCCAAGGGACCAAAGCAGTGGGTAAGGAGGGTACTTTCTGTGGTCTCCAGGATTTCTTTTTCATCTTTCTTTTTCATCTGGTTAGTGTTTGGTTTCTGGACCCCTCCCTAGATAGAGTCCAGAATTTCAAACGTTGCTTCTGGCCTCTATTTGGAACCCTCCTCCCCCCACCCTCCTAGGGAGATGTAACAGGTTTTCAGAAAACCCAGCCACAGGCATTCCAGTGAGAAAGTAGAGGATCAAGTAAGGCTCTTGAAACTTTGCTGACAGATCTCCCCTGACGCTTTCTTTTTGAAGTTTTTCTACAGTCAGGATTCATAGCAGGCAGGGTCATTCTACTGGATAGGAATTTGATTTGGGGGGAACTTTATTAGACCTTGTCCGAAGTATCTTGCATATTGCCTTTGGATCAGGAAACTCCAGCTCTATTGGCTAGTATTCCTTCCAAATCCCACCCCCAAGTCAGACCGCAGTAGGAGCCTAGGGAGGAAGCAAACAATCATGTGCTTTGGTGAACGGAAGCAGTTAGGGAACAGGGGTAGGGCAATCCTCTTACTACTGAGATCTCCTCACCAGGAGAGCCTTGGGCAAAACAATTTACTGGTAAGGGTGGTTTTTAATGGCCCCCACCCTACTGCTTCCTGATCCTATGGGGCCTGTTTCCTCCAGAAGCAGGGAGGCAAGTGAGCATAGGGTAGGAACCTGCTGGGTGGGTGTCATGGCTGACCCTGATATATTTGTGCCTGCTTTCTGATGACTTTGACTCCAGGCCTTGAGAAAGCCCCAAGCTTTAAGGACAGGAAGTATCGGCTGATTTGAAGCAGCCTCCTTTTGGTCATTCTGCACGTCCTTCCCTTTGCTTCCTTTGAGAGTTTCTGCATTCTCTCTCAAGGTTGACCCCCAGGCCATTATCAGAAATTTCCAGGGAAAAACAGTCATTACAGAGCAGTGAGAGGTCAAGCTGCCCTCAGACAGTCCTTGAGTTGTGCTCTAATGCATGGGGCTTGTTCCTAGGTGGCTGTTTGTATGGAGGGCCAGAAGGTGCTCTTGGAGAAAACTGGATCCCAGCTTGGAGAACAGGAACTGCCAGACTTTCAACTGCAAACTCCTAGCAGATATCCCAGGGAGAGCTCTCTGGAGGAGACGTCCCAGGCAGGATCTCAGGATCAGCGGAGCCCCCGTCATTGGGAAAAATCCCTGCTCCTCCAGGACCCAACCCCCAAATTGGCTGAGACAGGTAAACACTCGGTGCCTCTTCTCTCCCTCTCGTCATCCCCTTATCGCCATCAAAGCATTTCATGGTTCTAAAAAGCCATAGACCAGGTATTGGGTTTTTTTTCAATATTGTATGTGATAGTAGATCTTTATTCTCCAACGAATTTCACGAATTAGAATGGTAGTGTTACTAAAGTGTGCTTTTATCATTTTCTGTTCATGACTATTTGAGAATCCAGTGCACAGGATTATTCTAGTGCCTTCTTTTCTGTCCCATTCAGAGCTACTTATAGTGAAGACAAATCCAAATATGACCACTGATGAACTTCCATTCGAGCTGTGGCTGAGTTTCGTCACTTAAAATAGTCCCATGTTTAGAAGGGACCTAAACAAGATTCTGCTAATTAGAGAAAAAAAACCCTCTCCATTTTATGTTCTGCCTCTTTCTCCTCCTGTGACATTGTCCGTGTCCATTTCCTTATCTGTCTCTGGTACAATGCCAGTATAATTGCAGGCCCTGCTCCACACAGTCCTGTGGTCTCTCTGACTGAATGAAAGTGACACTTTGGCCAGTCTTGGTGATGTGAATACAGGATATGGTGAACAGGTTAGAGAAGAAGGTTACAAGAAAGCTAGATTCCTTAAGATTTGCTACATTCAGCGAAACACTTTGATTTCATTATTCTCAAAACTCATGAATGGAGAAGACCTAGGGCATCCAGCAGGAAAGCACTGTGGCCCTGGCTGAGGTCCCGCCTCATAACCTACGGCCTTCATGGTCCTAAAGAAAGTGGACCACATGTACTCCCTTCTTCTGCCTCAGCAGAGGCAGCTGGGTGTGCATGCTGTCTCCATTTCCTTTTATTTGATTCCAGAGAGGGTGGAGTCTCATGCTCAAGGTTCATCCATGTTGTAGCATGTGTCAGTACTTCATTCCTTTTTAATGGCTGAATAATATTGCACTCTGTGGACATTTCGTCTGTTTATCAGTTGATGGACACTTGGGTTGTTTCCACCTGTTGGCTATTATGAATAGTGCTGCTGTTAACAGTTGTGTACAAGTTTTCGTGTAGATGTCTGTTTTCATTTCTCTTGGGTGTACACCCAGGAGTGGAAATGCTGGGTCCTATGGTAACTCACTGTTTAACCTTTTGAGGTTGGACTTTTCCAAAGTGGCTGCGCCATTTTACATCCAGCAGTCTATGAGTATTCCAATTTCTCTACATCCCTGTTGACACTTGTTATTTTTTGTCCTTTTTATTGCATCCATCCTATTAGGCATGAAGTGGTATCTCATGGAGCTTTTGAGTTATTTCCCTAATGACTGATGATGTTGAGCATCTTTTCATGTGCCTGTTGGCCAATTGTGTATCTTCTTTGTAGAAATGTCTATTCAGATCCTTTGCTCATTTTTTAAAATTTTATTTATTTATTTATTTTTGGCTGCGTTGGGTCTTCATTGCTGTGCATGGGCTTTCTCTAGTTTCAGCGAGCGGGGGTACTCTTCATTGTAGTGTCCGGGCTTCTCATTGCTGTGGCTTCTCTTGTTGCGGAGCACGGGCTCTAGGCATGCAGGCTTCAGTAGTTGTGGCTCGCGGGCTTAGTTGCTCCGCAGCATGTGGGATCTTCCTGGACCAGGGCTCAAACCCGTGTCGCCTGCATTGGCAGGTGGATTCTTAACCACTGTGCCACCAGGGAAGTCCCCTTTGCTCATTTTTAACTGGGTTGGTCTTTTTATTGTTGTAAGAGTTCTTTGTATAATCTGGATACTTATGTATAATTTGCAAATATTTTCTCCCATTATGTGGGTTATCTTTTCACTTCCTTGATAGTATCCTTTGAAGCACAAATGTTTTGGATGTTGAGGAGGTCCAATTTATCTTTTTGTTTGCTTGTGCAAACATACATATCGAATGTACTATTGCCTAATCCACCATCACAAAGGTTTACACCTTTGTTCTGTTCAAAGAGAGATAGGTTTAGCTCTTACATTTAGGTCTTTGATCCATTTTGAGTTAATTTTTGTATGTGTTGTGAGTCGGGGTCCAACTTCATTCTTTTGTATGTAGAAATCCAGTTGTTCAGCACCACTTGTTGAAAAGACTATTCTTTACTCCATTGAATTATCATGACAACCTTGTTGAAGAGCAGTTGACCATAATTGTGTGGGCTGCTTTTTAAATCTGAATTTAAATTAAAGTTAAATAAAATTAAAAATTCAGTTTCTCAGTCACACAAGCCACATTTCAAGTACTCAGTAGCCACATGTGGTTAGTGGCTGCCATTCTGAATAGATCTTCCACATGGCAGGAATCCTGTTGGATAATAGCACTGTTGTGGAGTTTCTGTAATGAGGGTGCATGTCTGGCCCATATCTCAATTTCCAATCACATATGCTGTCTATCAACTTCATAAT